TATAACCAACCACCTTGGCTGTCCTGGAACTCTCTCTGTAGAGCAGGCTGGCCTCAAACTTACAGGGATCCCCCTGCCTCTGCCCTCTGCCTCCCAAATGCTGGGTTTAAAGGCATGTGCCACTACCTTCTGAGTATTTGTTTTATGTGTGGGTCCTCTGAAAGAGCAGGCAGTGTTCTTAACCACTGAACCATGTCTTCAACCCCTCTAATGCAGAGAAAAACAAATGAGAATATTGAGGTGTTTGTTAGCTCTGTAACATGATGGAATTCCTATCTGTAACTCAGTTAACAGCCAAAGCCGAGTTTCTATGGATGTTGATCCTGTGCTCACCTACACTTTCAGCTCCAGGGCCCTTGAGTTTGATGTATGCTTAGAAAAGGGATGCTGGGAAGGAGGGGCTCAAGGAGAGGTGATGGAAGGAATAGTGTGCCAAGAAGCAGGTATATGTGATGTGAGCAACTTCTGCTTCAGCTGAAGCAGAAGTTGCTGTCACTGAAGCCACCTATGCTGGCGCCCATAGACTTGGCTCCCTTACAATGCAGGGATAGTAAACATTGCAGCAGCTCAGATGGGTGGGGATTCTGGCACTTGGGAGCTAAAGAATACTGACTGTTACTGTTTGGATGGGAAGGTATTCTGGCACTCGGGAGCCAAGAAATACCACAGGTCACAGTAAGCATAGCAGCTTCCAGCCCTGCTTCAGGGAAAGACTTCCCCAGTGTATCCGCTCTGCTCCCTCCGCCAGGACAGGGTTTCCCCAGTGAAGTCCTTAGAGTTCAGCTCAGGTGTCCAGGACAGCAGAGTGTTACAACTCTGTTTCCTTTAGGGGAAGCCCCTAGCAAAAAGTTACAACCCTGATCCCCTCTGCTCTGCTCCGCTTTGGCTCCAGCTAAAAGTTGTTAAATGGAAGGAAGGTCTCACCCAAACCTCCTTCAAGAGATTTATTAGGAGGGAAGAATCCAGGAAGTGGCTGCCTTTGCCAGGGTGGAAGGAGGCAGCTGGAGAGCCATAAGGTGAAAAGGAACAGGGTTTATATAGGGCTTCTTAGGGGGTGGAGTTTTTCCAGGGAGATTTCCAGGGTGGGGATTGGTCAGATTTCAATCCCTAAGCTCAGACTGGCTAAATCTGCTCAGGGATTGGTTTTCTGCGCAGTTTTAGGGGTCAGATTTGGCTCTGGTTTCAGGGCCAAAGTGTGTTTCTTTCACGGGTCCTTTTTAGCCTTTGGGCTCTAATTTTAGGGCCCGGGTGTATTTCCTTCACTGGCTCTGATTCCAGGGACAAAGTGTGTTTCTTTGGCACTGGTTTCAGGATCAGGGTGCATTTCTTTGGTTCTGGTTGCAGGGGTATTCTGTCAGTCTTTCTTGAGTGTTTGTTAGGATTGGGGCAGGAAGGAATAAAGTACAAATTACATAAAAATTTTCCTTAACCATGTTTGTGTGCACTTCAGTGCCATTAGGGGCTTTGGATTTTCTATTTTACTTTTTGACAGGGTTTCTCTTTGTAACAGCCTTGGCTGTTCTGGAAGTCACTCTGTAGGCCAGGCTGGCCTCGAACTCACAGAGACCCACTTGCCTCTGCCTCCCAAGTGCTGGGTTTAAAGGGTGTGTGCCACCACTGCCCAGCAGGCTTTGAATTTTCTAACCAATCTCCACATTTCTGTGTCTCGGAACTGAATCCATTAATGAACACTGCTTTCCCTATTTCTCTGAGCCCTTGTTGTTCCTGTAGCTGTGACTTGATTGGTTGCATAATTGAAGTTCTATTTAACTTTTTTGATGTGGTTATTTCACTCATCCTCATGGTTGACCCATAGGTTAGCATCTGTGGGCCTCAGTGATTGAATGAGAATGGCCCCAAAAGGCTTATAGATTTGAATGCTTAGTCATCAGGCAGTGGCTGTTTTGAGGATGGTCTTATTGGAATAAGTATGGCCTTGTTGGAGGAAGTGTGTGTGGGGATAGCTCTGCGGTTTCAAAAACCCATACCAATCCCAGTCCCCACCATCACCACCACCACATCTCTCTCTGCTTGCAGATCAGGCCATAAAGCTCTCAGCTACTGCTCAAGCTACATGCTTGCCACCCTTGCTCCCTGCCACGAGGGTAATAAGTTAATAAGCCCGTGAAACTGTAAACCCCCAATTAAATGCTCTGTAAGAAATGCCTTGGTCGTGGTGTCTCTTCACAGCAATAGAACACTGTCAGCTGTGGCCTCTCTTGAGGCTCATTTCTCATTGTATGTTCATGCTGTGTTTCATTTACCCACTCAGCTATTGTGGAATACATGGGTTACATCTATGTCAGTTACAAAGAATAACGCCATGCACACATGGTGTCTGCCTCCCTTCTAGACCACACCCCTGATCTGGCTACAAACCAAGTAAGACTGTTGAGTTATATGATGATTGGGTTTAAATTATAGGGAAGCATCAGTTTGGGTTGTTTTAGAGCAGCCTTGAATTGCCGGTTCTCCATTTTTTAAGATTTATTTTTAACTAGGTGTATGTGAGTGCGTAAGCAGATACCTGCAGATGCCAAAAGGAGGCACAGACCCCATGAGCTGATCCAAGTGAATGCTGGGTCCTCTGCAAGAGCAGTAAGTACTCTTGACCACTGAGTCTTCTCCCCAGTAGTTGGTTTTTACATTTTTTTTTGAGGGGGTCCACCACCCAGCTCCCAAATAAATGCACTGAAACTTCTTACTTGTAAATGCCCAGACTTAGCTTGGCTTATTTCTAGCTAGCTTTTCTTAATCTAAATTATCCTGTCTACCTTTTTGCTTCTAACCTTTTACCTTTATTTCTATATATATTTTCTTTCCTCCTCTTTCTATGTATAGCTGGGTAGTTGGCCCCTTCTTTTCTTGCTCTTTTCTTCTTTTCTTTTCTCCTTTTATTTATTCCCTCTGCCAGCCCCGCCTATCCTTTCTCCTGCCTTGCTATTGGCCATTCAGCTCTTTATTAGACCAATCAGGTATTTTAAACAGGCAAAGTAACACAGCTTCAGAGTTAAACAAATGCAACACAAAAGACTACAACACATCTTTGCATCATTAAACATATATTCCACAGCATAAACTAATGTAACACATCTTAAAATATTCTACAGCAAACCCCTTTCTTTCCTTTTGCTGTAGAGATATTACCTCCTTGGGCAACCCCCCCACACACACACACAGGTTTTTTTGTTTGTTTGTTTGTTTGTTTTGGGGGGGGTTTGGTTTGGTTTTTGGATACAGGGTTTCTCTGTGTAGCTTTGGAGTCTGTCCTGGAACTTACAATGTAGACCAGGTTGGCCTCAAACTCACAGTGATCTGCCTGTCTCTGCCTCCATATGCTGGGATTAAAGAAGTATGGCACCCCCCCCCCCCAGCTATTTTTGAGTGGGACTCTTACTGATGTGTGTGTGTGTGTGTGTTATGATCTTTGTATGCTGGTTATCAGACCTGTTTTCAAATGTAATCTTGAAATCTTTTAATTATAAGATCTGATTATTTGCAAATAGAGATAATTTGATTTATTTCCTGTTCATATTGCTTTATTTCTCTTAATGCTCCTTCTCTCTTGACCCACTGATACAGGGTCTCACTCTGTAGAGCAGGTTGGCCTTGAACTCACAAGAGATCCTCCTGCCTCTGACTCCTGGGCACTGGGATTAAAGGAGTGTGCCACCACCCCCAGCCTTATCATATCCCTCTCCAACATTTATCTAATTTTGTTGACACATATTTCATTAGGCAGTCTTGTTTGTATGTGTGTGTGTGTGTGTGTGTGTGTGTGTGTGTGTGTGTGTGTGTGTAACTACATGCACGACTGTAGGTGCCAAGGAGATCAGAAGGCAGCATTGGATCCCCCAGAACTGCAGCTGTAGACAGTTGTGAGCCATCATGTGGGTTGGGAACCAAACCTAGGTCTTCTGAAAGGGCAGTCAGTGCCCTTTATCACTAAGCATCTCCAGCCCTGTGAACCATTCCTACCTGTCACTTTAGGTCATGTGGTCAAGAGCTGGAATTGGATTTTGTTCTGGTTTTACTTTTTAAAATCAGACTTGTGGGGTAAGGGTGGGCAAAAAAAATGGTGTGTATGTGGAGGTCAGAGGACGATTTGGACCAGTCTCACTCTCATGTCTACTATCGCTCGGGACATCAGCTTTGCCTGCTGATCCAACTTGCCACTGAAAAGAACTTCATTTGAAGTCAACTTTCTTCCAGTATCTTTGGACATAAAAGACAAGTTATCAAAGCTTGTTGACAAATATTTCTTTAAAAATCTTCTGACTTTTTTATTTATAGGATTCCGAGTGGCAGCTCTAAGACCAACTGACCCACCCACGTTTGGCCCCTGCGGGGGTCTCTCATGAATGGAGTGGTAAGTTCTAATACTTACTCTTCTACATCAGAAGTTAAAATGGCACTGTGGTCCTGTCCTCCGTATCACAGGGCACTTAGCCAGCTTGCTAGTTCCTCCCACCAGATTCACTGTCACCCTTCCATCAGCCATGGAGTCAAGTGTCCCATAGGGAACCATCAGCCAAATGTGACTCCAACAGGGTGCTCTACACTGCTGCTGGAGATGTGAGTCCAGGTAACAGCTGTTCTCTGACATGTTCTGGCTGACAATAGGCATTTGTTATCACTCAGAGACTGAGGCAGGAGGATTAGTTGGCCTAGGAGTTTGAGGTAACCTGGTCTATAAAGTAAGTTCAAAGCCAGCAAAGACTACATAGTGAGGCCTGTCTTAAAAAGATTTAGGCACAGGGTGGGGAGATGAATTACAAACTTTGAACTCTTTTTGCAACAGTCTTGCAGGCTCGAAATGAGGCTTAACACACAGTCCTCCTGCCACAGCCTCTCAGACTACAGGAATGTACCACTGTGTCCAGCTTATATTTATTATTACTCAACCAAAGCCCTCTAAGTTTTCACCCCGGGCTGTCACTGAACAGGTAGTAATGCTAGAAGATTCTCTCTAAAATTTCACTAAAAGGAAAAATCCAAACCAGGACTAAAAGAAAACATTTATTGAATCAAAATCAATACTTTCTTTTTAATATCTACAAGCCAACAGTGAGCTCACTTTATTCAAGAATGAACACAATGTACAAAAAAAGTATGCTTATATTATAAAAATACGTCCATCTTCTCTTGCGGTGCCGAGCAGAAGTGACTGAACAGATCAAGGCAAACCGCTCTACACCAACAGCTCTATTTAACCATAGGGAAGCTAATGGACAAACCTCCCAGGCCCACTGGAGAAGTTGTGCCCAGCATGTTGTTGCTACCAGAATCCACATGTACAACCTGCTGTGTCTCTGGCTTACTAGTTGTTACCGTGTATTTCAGAAAAGTATTAACAATATAATAAATTCTGGGTACAAAATCCTATTAGCTCCAATTTAAAAATGAGATGTGTTACTATGAGGAAACAAACAAGTTCCCAAGATTTACAATCCCCCGTAGGGAGGTGGGAAGTTTGCCTCCCTGCATCCTTGCCAGCATCCTTAAGCCTCCAAAAAAAAAAAACCATCATGTACAAGGTTAGTTACTGTGTACATTTTCTTAACGTTACTGGAACCTTCTGTGTACAGTGTCTCACTGTGCTGAGAAGAGGTCTGACTGAGGCAGCTGTAGGGCCATCACAGGCTCCGGGAGCCTTTGGTTTATTAATGACTGGCCTTGGAGCAGCAGAGTGAAGGGGGAGGGGACAATGGCTCCCTGTGCTGTCCCATCCATCAGTGCTGAAGATGCCAAGAAATCCCTGTCTGTCATACAGAAAGAGTTTGCACACAGCTGGGCCCAAGCAGGAACCTCATCCTGGCTAAGCAGAATGACAAACTCAAGAGTGCAGTGTCCACATGGTGAATTAAAGACAGTGAATTAAATGTTTCTCCACAGATTTTCTTTGTGCTCAGGATTGACACCTATGAACGGTAAGAATTGCAAAATCAAAGGACCAGGCCATCCAGTGTTCCACCCTACTGGTAAACTAAGACCAGAGGAAATACAAGGAAATCTTTCAGCTTGGCCTGCACTGGCCCACTGACTCTTCAGTCGGTATTCTCAGGACAGCAGCAGTGCTGGACAGGGACAGATGAAGAAGGCAGAAGGTAGAAAAATGATCACAGTTTCTCTGGACGAGGACCTAACTGCCTTCAGTACTCTAACTTCAGTTAAGCTCACCTTCCAGATGAATGCTAAGCTGCAGCAGCATGTGGACTACAGGGCCCAGCCACCTGCACTCAGAGGAACAGAACGGGACCTGAGCAAAGGCCTCTTGCTGACCACAGAGAGTCATTGAGGGCTGCTCCGTCAGTGAGTCAGCCAGGCAGCAGGTTGCTGTTGGAAGCTGCCATGGCCTCCATAGTAAGTGGAACACTGGAAGGCCAAGGGCTCTGCAAGCCAAAGCTGATACAGAGGCCAAAATTTAAAACAAAACAGAGACAGTACACGAAGAGTGAAGAGCTAACAGGACGACCACACTGAGAAACTGGATGGGCTTCACCACAACACTCAGATACATAACCAACCATCTGTTCACAATCACAGGTCCTTACTCGAAAAATAAATACATTGAACATTTACAGCCACTCGACTGCCTCTGGAACACAGGCTTTCTGTCACTGCTCTGATCAAGCCAGGCCCTAACTTTGATTATCTGCAAAGAGCGTCCTCCAGGAGAGCAGCATCCTCAAGGCCAGTGTCTGGCCTCCCGTGGGAGCCTCTGGGCAGCACCATGGAGCGTGCAGACATACACTCAAGTTTCCAACAGATGAAAAGGACTATTGTGCTTATGGGTCTCACACCTTCAAAATAGACATAATTGGTGGCAGTAACTACAGACCTCTGCTCACCTGTAAAATCATAAGGCAGAAGGACCAGAGGCGCAATGAAAGGGTTAAAATGGGAAAATTACAAAAACAATACAGTGCTAGCAGTCACAAAAACCATGCTAAGATCCGATTGATGTGGGTTAGACATTGAAAATTCAGCTACTTCCAAAGAACTCTGTCAGAGTGCCAGGCATGCATGCCGATGACGACAAGGCAGGTCGGACTGGCGCCGCCTTCCTGGAGCAGGAACGTCTTGCTGGAGATCACAGGGGTGAACAGGTTGCCGCCACACTTCTTTTTATAATTAAAATAAAAATCCAATCACAAGACAAAAATATTATAGAACTGTGGACAGAGAAAATGCAGAAATTCTGACCTATAAAAACCAAAAGAAAAAATTCAGTTATTACTTTTTAGGGTTTTTGTTTTGTTTTATACCAGAGTCTCTCTACATAGCCCTGGCTGTCCTAGAACTCACAGAAATCCACCACTGCCTTCCTAAGTGCTGGGATTAAAGGCATGTGCCACCTGCCCAAAAATGGAAATCCCTCTTAGGTAAATCCTTCTATTAAGTAGCCTTTATTTTTCACTGACTTATGTATAAACTACTTCACTGCTCCTGAGGCTGACGCCTCCTCCCTACCCAGACGCTGCCTGCCCCTCAAGGCCTTCCAATGAGGAGATAGCATGGCATTTAAACCTAAAATGAAGCATGAGCCCAGGCCACAAAGAAAGGTCATCTGATTAAGTTAGCAGTTGTTTACACCTCAAGACGTTAAACTCCGAGGTACTTACATGTGATGGGACCAGGGCTATCCTGCTTTCGTGTCCACAAGCTGCATCTGCACGCTGGCAGCCATGCCACCTCCATAGCCTCCTTTGGACTGCATTTGGTTCTGAATGGAGCTGACCTAAAACAGACAGGAACGGACAGAAGCTTAGCAGGGTCAGGTGGTGCATGAGAGATTGATCTCCCTGCTGTCTTCACGACATGTGTGCAGGGAAAGCACGAACTTTTTTTTTTTAAATAGATTGATTGATTTATTGTGTATACAGTGGTCCGCCTGCAGGCCAGAAGAGGGCACCACTGAGCCATCTCTCTAGTCCACACACTCATTCTTAAACACCTTAACTTTTATGGGGTGCAGTGCAAACGGTGAGGCCAGTATTGAACAATTTGTTCAAGTTTTGTTTGTTTGTTTGTTTTCTGTTTTCCCTCAAGCAAGGCCTTGAACTTGTGGTCATACTGCCTGAGCCTCCCGCATGTGCCTCCTCATCCTGATGCACAATCCTATTAGACAGTGGAGGTGGCTAAGATCCCACAGACACACTGTAAGCCATGCTCCAGGGGACTTGAGCTGTAGGAGCAAGTGCACATACCATCTTTCGGTTTGTTGTCCGCATTTCAACAGAGTTCCTGCAAATTAGAAACATTCTGGAAGCAGAGTGAGTCAGGTCACACTGCTGGAAGGAGGAACCCAAACAGGAAGCTCGGAGGTGGAAGCTCGGAGGTGGAAGCTCGGAGGTGGAAGCTCGGAGGTGATGCCCAGTGATGACCCAACCACATACTGGTGGGGCCCCTTAAAGGGTCACATCCCAGAGCTGAGACTTGGGGGAAGAGCAGGGGATGGATGCATGGACCATGTTCATAAATGTATTTACTGAGTGCTACTGAGCACTTACTGCGACATAAAGTAAGGAAGAATGGGCCCTTCTCACTGGTGATGATGCTTAAGTTATTTCTGGAGAAAGAGGTTTAAATATACTAGAAGAGACATATGGGTGCTTAAGGATGCACCTTCCAGAGTCTACTTTCATTACTCTGGGACACTGACTCACTCCAATGGCATTGCACACACTACCACCAAACACCTGTATTCACAATTGACAGCTGCTTCAGAGAAGTATGCACACACAGTCTTTATGCTATCGGGCATGAGCCCCATCCATGTCCCTTTGTGACCTCAGCCCTGATGGTAAAGTCTACAGTCGACATGCACACAGGCTCTGTGTGCTCCAGGCTCACCCGCTCAGCACTTGAGAACTCATAAAGCCACACAAGTCTTTAAAAAAACAAAAAACAAAAAAAAAAACTGTGTGTGTTTCCTCAAGCAAAACAAATAATTCTGCAGTGCCAAACTGAAGGGTCAAGGTTTTCTGATAAGCGAACTATCAGTGCTGACAGCAGTCACATGACTGCAGGTGTACAGTGTTTAAAACTACTACTAAAGGCTCACAGAGCTCCTTCTGGCAAGAAGGTGAAAGTAAAAAGTAAACTTGCAGGTGTGGCAGTTCATGCCTGTAAACACAGCACCAATGAATCAGAAGTAAGTCAGAGCTGCAGAGAGACCTCAGTGGTTAAGAGCACTGGCTGCTCTTCCAGAGGACCTGGGCTCAATTCCCAGCACCCACATGGTGCTGTTCCAGGGGATCAGACAACCAATGCAAAATAAATATGTGTAGTGTGTGTGTGTGTAGTAAGTCAACAAAGCAGCCTTGGAAAGAGCTGAGAATTCAGTGGGGGCCATCAGTGCTGCAGGGCAGGCAGGCACCTTACACAAGGGCCTGTTCCTAATGACAGCTGCCCCAGTCCAGAACACAGATGGGGTAGGAATGTCTCTCTGGATAAACAACATTTCTATTCCGTCACTATTCTGACACAGGAAAACCATTTCTCTCATAGCAGGTTTATGTAAGTGGGAACTATCAGCAAGAACTCAGCATTCTACGGGGGAGCAGCAGGGTCATCCAATGAAATCACTACCAAAAAGGGACATCTTGGTTCTACAGAAAGTATGTCAGTCCTAGAGAAGACTCCAGTGGCTCGGAGAGCAGGACCAGCCACCACCTGATGCTGTCAGCCCAAGAGGGTCCACCCCAGCTAGGGTGAGCAGCAGACCGCACACTAACAGTAAGATGCTAAGCACAGAATTAAAGAAACTTCTCAACTGTGCACAAATAAAAGTTACAAGCTTTACCAAATACCACAAGCTAGATTCAATCTTAAGTAGCCAAGTCATGTGCCAGCACCCACCAGCCTAAAGCAGGAGCCCAAGTTCAAGACCGTCTTGGTCTCCATCTTTAGAAAGATCAAATCTGAAGTGAAGATATTCACTGACAAGAAAGATAATACTGAATATATGATGAACGTGCAGTACCCGTTCTATAACCAGATTGCAATAAGCACACTAACTAGAGAGGGCTCAGAGCCCCTTGCTGTCTTCACCCTATGACACTCAACAACACAGCCAATGAAACAAGCCCTTCCACAGACTGAAAGCAGGAGTGACAAATGGCTCCCTTGTTTTCTAGTCACTGAGGGAACAGTGGGTTCAAGTGGCCCAGATACTCATTACCCACTCTAAACCCAGCTCTGTTGATTCTGGCTAGGGAGTTTGGACAAAATTGTGGTAGACTGAAAGAAAACAGCCCCATAGGCTCACAGGCAGTGGCACTGTTAGGAAGTGTGTCACTGGGGGGGTGGGCTTTGAGGGCTCTGATGCTCAAGCCTCCTCTGTGTTTCTCTTCCTGCTGCCTGCAGATCCAGATGCAGAATTCTCAGCTCCCCCTCCAACACCACGTCTGCCTGCACGCCACCATGCTACCCGCCATGATGATAATGGACTAAACCTCTGAACTGTAAGCAAGCCACCCCAATTAAATGATGAGTTGCTGTAGTCATGGTGTCTCTTTACAGCAATAGAAACCCTAAGACAACAATTGTCTAATTCTGTGTCTACAACAGTATCAGTGCAGTGAGACCTGGGGTCACGAGGCATCATGTTTCCTTAGGAGCAAAAGGAGTCTGGTTCTAGAAGTGCCCTCCTTTGGTATCCTTAGATGAACACTACAGAAGAAGCCAGGTGAACAAACGAACAAACAATAGAATGAACCCAAGGTCTACACTGGCATCTGGCACGATCCTCCTTCCTTATTTCAGGTACTTTATAACCAACTGCTCAATATGGCAAATGTCTACTGCCCTGCCCTAAAGGGGTGCGTGCAAACCCCAACTACCTGATTAGCAGGAAAGAGCTGAAGTAGCATTCTAATGTCTTTCTTCAGGGAAATAAGAAGCAGACTCAGCAGACAGATGTGGGGCTGGAGAGGCAGCTCAGTGGTCAAGAGTGACGTGGTTCTTGCAGAGGTCCAAGGTTCAGTTCCTAGCACCCAGCTACATCAGGTGGCTCACAACCTCCTATATTCCAATGTGAGGGGATCACACTCCCGCCTTCTGGCCTCTGCACATGTGTGACACAAGCACACAAAATAACTAAATCTTAAAAAAAAAAAAAAAAAAAGAGTATGTGAAAAGTACTTCACTACAAGAGGGTAACTATCCATTAGTATGTATATATGTATTTATTTGGCATAGTCAGGGTGTCTATGTAGACCAGGCTGGCCTTGAACCAGAGGTCCTCCTCCTGAGTAGTGGGATTAAACACTGTGCCTGGTTTAAATTCTGATTTCAAAGGTCATCTGCAAATACCATGGTGGGAACATTAGAAGCAACTGTTAATTAACCTACTGAGTGTCTGCTCTGCTTGAAGAGGTCTGACTTACATTAAGATCTGTATTGTATCTAGTAGCATGTTTTAACACAGTGTCGATAATGTACAAATAACTGCTAGAAGATATTGCTTAGGGAGTAACAGCAGGAAAGGTCTGTGCAGACACAGTGTTTTGGTTCTTTTACCGACCCAAGACTGGTACAATCTCATTCAGAACTCATTAGACATATAACAAGTGTAAACAGAACATTTTAAAGGTTTGAGTCTGTCAAGGTTCCGCTGGGCCGCATCCCACCAACACACTTACTGAGTTCATCCCACTAAACAGGTCTCCAGATCCTACGTGAGCTGTGTGCACAAAGTTGGTTGGCTCTCCAATCATACTTCGGTCAATCCGCCGTCGCCTTTTCTAAAACATGAGAAATAATGTGTTGAGAAGAGAAAATGGTCTTATCCTTCCACGGTAGTCTGAAAATCCAATTCTCATACTTTAATATCTCTTTGAAACAAACATCAAAAATCTATAGAGGATGAGTAGTCAAGATGGCTTAAGCAGTATAAAAAAAAAAAAAAACAAAACAAAAAAAAAAAAACCAACTTGCCATGCAAGTCCCAAAACCCATGCATGGAGTCCACAGTGGAAAGACACCTATCATGATGCTGTGGTGTATGCAGCCACACAACTACAGTTTCATCTGAAGGAACATCTGAGCATTTTTAGCACAAAGCATTAATTAATAATAATAATAATAAAGCTAGCTGATGACACATACCTGCAACCCCAGCATTGAGGAGGCTGGCAAGGATCTTGGGTTTGAGGCCAGCCTGGGCTACACTGTAAGACCTTTCCAAAACAAAACTTAATTAAGACAGGGTCTCATGTGGTCCCCATGGACCTCCCACTCCTGATCATCCTGCCTCTCTTTCCCAAATTTTGAGATTAGAGGTATTCACTGCCATGACTAGTTAAAAGAAAAATAGATGTCTGAGGAAATATTTTACCCGACTGAAACACTACACATATAAACACGGGACATTATATAACACCATTATTGTGTATGTTTATGTCAAAATAACTTACAAGACAAATGTAAAATTACCTTCATCATCAGGCAAGAACATGTGTGATTGACCACAGTACTCTTGATTTTAATAGGACTTTCTAGCCCAGGAACAGTGCGAGAACAGTGGTTCTGAGCCTTCGTGTTGCTCATAGAGCTTCTGCTCATGTGTGCACGGATGCTCACTTGCTCACTGTGTGTTCCATCAGCCTGTGCTCATGTGAAGGTCAGAGGCTGACACTGTCTTCCTCACTCTTTTTTAAAAGTTTTTAAAAAATGTTTTTTAAGATTTATTCTGAGAACTTTGTGTGCATGCCTTATATTGATCGAACTCACTACTATCACCCTCCCTTAGTCCTCCCCCACCACCACTGAGCCCATTACCCCCCCCCCAAAAAACCCTTCTTGCTCTGGCTTTCATGTCCTTTTTTAATGATCCACTGAATTTAGAAGCGTGGTGGTGGGCTTTCTTTCATACCTTTTTTTCACAATTCCATATTTATATAAACAGAATTTATAGACACTACCCATTAATTCCCTCTCACTCTCTGGCTTAGATGGTTTTGTGTGTGTGTGTGTTTTGAGACAGGCTCTCTTTACATAGTATAGCCAGGCTGTCCTGAAACTTTCACTATGTAAACCAGGCTGGCCTTAAGCTCAGAGATCCACCAGCCTCCCCAATGTCGGGATTAAAGGCCTTCACCAACAAGTCCAGCCTAACTTTGTTTTTGAGACAAGGGCTCTCGCTGGACCTGGAACTCACTTGACTGGCTAAGTGGGCTGGTCAGCTTCAAGGGTCTTCTCTATTCTTTCCCTTGGGTTTACAGATACGCATGGCTTTTTGTGTGGGTGCTAGAAATCCAAACATAGATAATAGGGCTGGCAAGATGGCTCAGCAGGTAAAAACACTGGCTGCTCTTGCAGAGGACCTGGGTTCTATTCCCAGCATCCACTGACAGCTCATACCTGTCTGTAATTTCAGTTTCTGGGGCTCCATCCCCTCTTTTGGCCCCCTCAGGAACCTGTACACACAAGGTACAAGTTACACATGTAAACAAAAAACCCGCATACATGAAACAAACTTCTCTGCACAGCAAGCACTCTTGCTGTCTGAGTCTTAGCAAGTGGAGGCCACTTGACTTAGCAGCTACAGCTCCAGACCAGAGGTCTTCTTTTACAGTAGCAGCTACAGTAAGGGTAATAATAATTATCACTATTATTGGGGAGGCCTGTGCCTGGGCTCACCTGTGGAGATCAGAGGACAACTGTGGACTCTGTTCTGTCTTTCCACTCTATATGGGTCCTAGGGATTGAGCTCAGGTCACTGGGCCTGTATGGCAAGAACTGTGACCCACTAGGCCATTTTTCTCCCTGGTCCTTGTAATGGCTTTTCAAGAGCTCACTCGGTAGATGTCACTGACTGATACGTGTTTAAGCTTCTGTGAGCACTTGCAGTGGGTCCACACTGTCACCTGTGTCTTTTTCTGTACTGAAACAGGTCTCATCTCACATAGTCCTGGCTATCCTGGAACTCCCTATGTAGATCAGGGGAGAGATTACACAGAGCCTGGAACTCAAGACATCCTCCTGGCTCAGCCTCCCAAATTCTGGGATTAAAAGTGTGCACGACCACACCCCAGGTCATGTGGGCTTTATTTCTCTAAATTTAACCCCCAGGCCTGTAGTAAGAGTCTCCTTACTTGAGATTTAGATTTAAAAGGTATCAGAAAACCCTACTTCCTATTTCCTCCTTGTCTCCTAGTCCCTCCTATCTTCCTTTCCTATTGGCCAACAGTGCTTTATTCATTAACCAGTATGAAAAACATATACAGAATGACTTCTCCCATCACACAATCACAAGGAGAAGAGGACAGCACCTGTATCCCCTGGTGCAGTAGACCTGCAGGACTGGGGCCATCTCCCAGGGTTTCACAGGAACCACACTTGTAAGAGCAACTGCCTCTACTGTGAGGGTGGCCAGCCAGCCAGAGACCTGGCATACATACTCTGGAGTCACTTGCCAGGCATCCCTAGGTTCTACCATCCTAGCTCTGAAGACCCTCTCCATGCCCACCCATAACTTGTGGTGCTTGGGAGGGATTACACACTGCCCACAGCCCCACACCAGGTGACTCACTCCAACTGCTAGGTGACACACAGCAACTGTAGTACTACCCTCCAGCCCATGGGAGTCCTAGGAGAGGATGTGCAAACACATTCCAAAGGGTCACTCTCCCACAAAAGCAAAGGTGGGAAGCCTCCAGGACACTTTTCACAAAGGTACATGTCTGTCCACACAGAGTCCTAAGACATTGTGGAAGAGGGTTGGGGAACAAGCACACTAGCCCACACTCAACACAGTGAGCATAGCCCATCCTCTGAGAAGTCCCTTCTCCATGTAACCTCTGATCTACTCTCATCATGTGTCTGTTGGGGTTTCCTGTAGGCCATGTAAAAGGACTCCTATAGTGTGTGCTTTCCTTCACCCAGTGCAGTAATTTTGGGAATGGTGACTGATACAGCATATACCAATAGTTACTCCTCCTTAATCATAGAACTCTGCAACAAATCAAACTAAATCCTTACTACACCACATCTCAGTCAACTGATTTTCCCCCCATAAATACACTTTTAAAGTTACAGAGTGGATGAAGAAGTATGTTTTTATAGTTGTACAGAGTTCATGAAGGCAAGACTTAAAAGGTAGCAAGACCTGTGTTTACTCCATTACTGAAGCTCTAACTATGATGCAGAAATTCCATGGAAAGAGACATTTGCCTAATCACCTCTACTGTAGCACAACTGTTCATGTCTGTGCCTCTAACCCCTGACCTTATGCAGAATGAAAAGCACTTTAAGTATGGCAGGGATTATTTGGATGGCTGGCAGCTCATGAAGTGCTCTTTCAGAGCCAAGAGTTCCAGGAAACACAGTGACTACTCAATGTCCACACGGTGGGGCTGAGAGCTACCTCTCAAGCTTCCTGTTTGCTTTGCTGAGGCCCAGCTCTGGAATTCCCCTGGCTGCTGACAACTGCATCTGTGTTTGTCCTGAATTTTTAATACCGTGTACTTGAAAAGTGTGCTGTTCCTTTAAAACAAAGTTCACTTCATGCCTGAAAAATACTGTGTGTTTTTAGTAGTTGGTGGGTGTTCTTCTGTGTAGCCCTGGCTGGCCTGGAATTTGCAATCCTCCTGCCTCAGCCTCCTCAGTACACCTGGCTTTGTTGCTGTCAGCCCCACCCTCCCTCACATCTCTAGAGTCTAATAGCACAGAAAATCTTTCCCCCTATGGTCAGGTTTTCCTTGTAGAATGTGGACACGATGAAATCTCTCCTCTCTTTAATGGAAACATCCAATTCTGTCCTCTTTCCTGTGAAGAAAGCTAGGCCTCAGCTGGAATTTGTCGTGCATATTTTATTTAGTAACTAATTACTAACTGAACAAACCAGGCTGGCCTTGAACCTGTGGAGCCTCTCCACCTTACCCCTGGAAGCAGGAGAATGTCCCAACTATGTGTTTACTAAAAATGTTTTCTAAAATTATGCATGTTTGTGTATGAATGTATTTATAAATGTGTGTACGCAGGTACCCAGAGGATAGAAGAGGATGTGAGATCTCTTGGAACTGAGTTACAGGTCATTGTGAGTTGCCCAACTTGAGTGGTAGGAACTGAACTCAGATCCTCTGGAAGAACAGCCAGTACTCTTAACCAAATCAATCTATTATTAATTCTGGGTAACTGAACTCTAATACTCCTTAATTACCGAAAATGTGTGTGGTAAGCATTTCATTCTAAACTTTATCAGCCTGTTACTGATTTTTGTTTGTTTGTTTGTTCCCGAGACAGAGTTTCTCTGTGTAGCCCTGGCTGTCCTGGAACTCACTTTGTAGATGAGACTGACCTCACACTCAGAGATCTGCCTGCCCCTGTCTCTGAGTGCTGGGAGTAAAGATGTGCACCACCACCTGGCCCTGTTACTGATTTTAAAGGAATGAAATGCAAATTTTTTTCTTGCGTATCAAAGTCACATGAAAGCCAGAACTTGACCATAATAACCTCAAAGGCCTGATTCTCCATTCTTGCCTGTTCATAAAATTCAAAAATTAAAAAAAAAAAAAGTTAATTCCATGCTACTGGTGTTAGAGAAGCAACTTTACTTTGGCCATTAAAGAATTCATGACCAAGAAAGGCATAGACTTTCATGCCATCACTGCATAACAGAACTTGTAACTACAGACTGTCTTTTTCTAAATAAACACAACAATCTCCCAGATGTGGTCAGATGACTAACAAACAATAAGGTCTTTTGAGCAATGTTTTACTCATAAAAGCTGCCAGTTAACAC